GAAGAAGTACAGGTTGCTTTGAAGGAAATGGCAAAAAAATAAGGCTCCAGGAATAGATAGTGTAACACTGACATATTTCAGCTAAAAGATGCTGCCCTGGACAGGTCCTAGAAGGGCCAAAAAGGAGGGATAGGCCACACTCTCTACCTGCCTGGAGTCCACACTGAAGCCTGGACATCCCTGCTAGAAGAAGCCTCCACAGAAAGGTGGTCTGCTAGCTGGGACAGAAGTCAGGAACTGTGTCCTGTCCCTTGGGAGCAGGGCTGGCTGCTAGCCAGAAAAGCCAGTGATTTGACCTCAGCAGCACAAAGAGTCATTAGCACCAGCTTTCGTCTGAGAGCAAGCTGAGCAGCAGCACAGATGGCCTGAGGCTTGTGGTGACGGCTGACCACTGTTTCCACAGCCAGGGTGCTGTTGACCGTCTATGTCAGGTCCAGCCTAGAGCCTGGCTCCTTTGAGTCCATGGTGCCCGTGCGGTATTGGTGGACCACACAACACAGCTTCTCCAGTCACCAGCCCTTTCTTCCGAGTGCCTCTGGTAGCCACACCCACAGGTAATGGCTGAGCACGGGAAATGATGGGTGTCCCCGGGACTCCATTCTGGGACCTGCCTGAAGCCCCACCCTCACCTTCTTGGAGCCTCGCTGTATGCTGCAGTTCTTGCAGGACACATTCTTGCTGTCCCAGTGGTCTGCAGCCCCACAGGTGAGGCACAGGTCAGGGTCACACTCACGAACAGCCAGGTAGCAGGGGCACTGCTTGGTGTTGCACTGTGCTTTGCAGCGGCAGCCAGGAAAACGGTTCTGGCCTGGGGAGACAGGCCAGCCGTCAACACTGCCCACACAATCCCACCCCACAGCTGTTCATCCTCAGTGACCCCCCTGAGAGCCCCTAGGGTGGGCATCATTTTAAGGCATTTCATTCCTGTGATCAAGCCTGAAAGAGGTAGGCTCTTGAGGAGGAAGCCAGTGAAGCTGCGCCGGGCAATGGACAGCCAGTGAGTGGCCAGTGGGCAAGCAGTGGACAGCTGAGCTGCACTCACACTCAGAGCTGCACTGGCAGAATTTCTCACAAAAGTTCTGTGCGATGACACAGGGGCAGGAGCTGTCACAGGGCTGCCGGGGATGATCACAGGGCTGGTAGTTGTAGACATGGTTGGAGGACCCGTCTGGATCAGAAAAAGGAAAGCAGTTCTGCATGCAGCTCACCTAACACCAGAGCCTTGGCCGCCAGCCACCTCCCCTGACCCACTGACAGCACAGCGTCACTGCACGTGCCTGAGTGCCCACGTTCCCACCCCAACGTGACTCCAGCACACCCTCCATCACAGACAGACCCTGCACGTCCAACCCCACCACAGCCACGCCTGCCCAGCATTCCAGAACCCAGCAGAGCCCAGTGTGGGGAGATGCTGACCCTTTTTCAGCTGTATCTTTCTGCAGTGGGCAGCCCACAGCCTGTAGAGACAAGAGAATACACGGTTCCGACTGAGAATGCAGGGTCCTGCCACCCAGGCCCAGCTGGCAGGGTACAGTGACTGGAGCCACTTGAGTACTGCAGCTCTGGTTGAGCCCACCCACAGAGGGGTCCTGGCTCTCTACACCCAGTTACCAGCTGGACTGCGGGCCCTACCCCCACCGCTCCCAAAACAGCAGTCCCCTAAGGTCCATGGTGCGCAGTCCCGGCTCACCGGTGTTTCCTCTTCTTCTTTCTGGGAGGCGTGTCTACATCCTCAGCAGGGACAGGTGCAATGATGCTGGACTCCTTGACTCGAAACTCATACACCTGACAAAACAGTCACAGCGTGAGGGTGTGTGACCCCCGGACCCACACATTCAGGGCCATGCCTCACGGCCCCTCTGAAGGGCAGCAATGCTGGCTGTGGGGACACTGGGCAGACCCCGTCCCTCCTCTCCTCCAGGGCGCAGCCCCCAACAGGGAAACCGCAAGACAACCTGAAAATTCCATTCCACTCCTTCCCAGAGGAAAAGGAATCCACTCCTTTGGAGAAGCTGAAAGGGCATCAGCCCTGCTCACATGATGCCAGTGTTAAGAAGCTGTGGGCAGCACATCCCCAGAAGCCAACCTGTCTGCACGTCTTGGTCCCAATGAGCCGCGCAATGGCGCAAAAATTGTCGTAGTAAGTGCCGATGAGGACACGGAACATGGAGGCCTCAGCACCACTCCACTCCACGCTCTCTGGAGGCTCAGCATTTGGCTTCATCTTGATTGGTGTTTGGCACCGAGAATTTGCTTCTGAAAAGTCAAAGTTGCACAACCGTTGACAAATTCCCACCAGAAGAGTATTACTAAGTAATCATTATTTAGAAGGGCCAAAGCCACGTCAGGAACCTAGGAGCACAGAGGGAAGGAAACAGGACTGGTAACCAAAAGGTCAAATCCACAAGCTGCTCTGAAAGTCAAAGATGGCAATCTCCCTCAATGAAAACCAAGCACCTAGGAAACAACCACCAGCGAGCCTCTCAGCCAGAACATGGGCACGATGGGATGTCGTGTCCACAATGCCATCACATGACATGTATTAACCCACCACCACCAGGCTCCCATCCTGAGCACAGAACACGGAAGCATCAAAGTGAGAGAACGGACAGTGGGGAGAGAAGTGCCAAGGCAGAACCCCGCCGGGACAGGCAGTATCCGTGAGAAGCGGCTCGCTCACCCCGTGAGGACAGGATGTGGGAAGCGGAGCACTGATCTGACTGCCCTTTTCAGGACAAGGAGGGATGATGCTGAGGGCACTGACTCGGCCCTGTCAAGATAAGCAAAGCAAAGCAACGGCAGAAGTGCAAGAGTGGACAGCGTCCTACACCCATGCTAGCGTGATGCGGTGGCAGGCCTGGAAAGCTGCTCATGAGACCAGTCACCGGGGTGGTCTTGAAAGACAAGGAGCCACAGACTCCTCACCTGACGAGCTAGATGTCTCCTCCTTTTTCTCCTCCTCCTCTTTGTCATTGTTCTCCCCGCCCGTCTCTGCTCCGGCCTCCCGGTCACTGTCTGTGTCCTTAGACTCCAGCACGTTGATGGTGGGCGTGCTGGGCCGACTGCTGTTGTTGGGCAGGCGCCCCCTCCTCCGACCCCCAGGGCGTTTCGGGGGCGTCTTGATCCGCTCAGCTGTGAGAGCAGCAGCAAACTCCTTTGCTCCTTCCTACCCAGAGAAAAATATGACCTAAAGGCACAACTGTAGAACTCATCGGTGAAGAAGGGTATGAATGAGCCCAAACAGTTGTCAACCAGTCATTTATAACAAAGAATCAAATGCATAAAGACACACGCTTGTTACACGTGCATCTTCACAAACATGGCACAAACTTGTTACATGTGCATCTTTTGAGACTTTCAGGAAAGAGAAGAATTGTACATATTGCTGTAGTGACACAAGGTTAGGCAGGACATCCTGCACTGGGGTGAGGTCAACGTCAATCTATACTGCACGTCTTATGTGTTGACACAGGATGGCAAAGCTTACACTGGACAGAACATCAGGAAAAACCCAGCAGTAGAGAAGAACATCACAGCTGCTAAGAGAGCGCATCACCAGCAATGAGCAAAACTCTCAACAAGAGGGACAAACACGGTGGCTGCAAGCATGGCTCAAACACAGCAACCGCCACAGATGCCGTCTAGACAACAGTTCCTTCTGTTCACACCGAACACTGCCACGAGTTAGGGACAACGTCAAAGGAACAAGAAAGGGCAGGCATGGAGCTCCCTCTCTCAAAATGAAGAATACGATCTGTGACAAAATTCCAAGAATACAGAGCTGTGTCCGTTGCATACAATCCAGTAGATTTTAACTCACAGCATGACCCCATGTTCCCTCGGTGTGACCCCTGCTCCTGCACGGGGGTGGGGGGGGTGGGCTTGTTCCCTCCAATGATGGATGTGCCGCCACAGGACCCCACACTTCCAGACCCTGGCACCGCTTTGCTTCGTACAGTGACGTGGGCACGTAAAGCGCCACAAATGGGATGGCAGGGTGCCTGCCACACTGCATAGCCAACAGTGCAAAGGCTGTCCCAGTGATCTCAGTGTCAGAGAGAACACGTCTGGGAGCAGCCACTGGTTTCGTAATCCACGTCACAAAAACCAGTTACTTTTTTCTTTCTACAAAGATGGTGTCATAGGCAAAGAAGGAAGCAGCCCTTGCCCCTCCCAAAACTGAAGCCAAAGCAAAGGCATTAAAGGCCAAGAAGGCATCCTGAAGGGCATCCACAGACACAAAAATAAAAGAAGATCTACACGTCACCCCTGTTCTGGTGGCCTAAGATGCTGAGACTCTGAAGGCAGCCCAGATACCCCCGGAAGAGCACCCCCAGAAACAAGCTTCACCACTATGCCATCACCAAGTTTCTCCTGACCACTGAGTCAGCTATGAAGAAGATAGAGGGTAACAACATGCTTGTATTCACCGTGGATGTCAAGGCCAACAAGCACCAAATCAAATAAGCTGTAAAGAAGCTCTATGACGCTGACATGGCCACGGTCTACACCTTGATTAGAGGCTGATGGAGAGAAGGCCTATGTTCAACTTTCTCCTGACTATGCTTTGGATGTTGCCAACAAAATTGGGATCATCTAAACTAAGTCCATCTGGCTAATTTTAAACACAATTTTTTCTCACAAAAAAAACCCCACCCCTGTAACTTTCTGCACGTGCCACTCACCTTCATGACCGCAACAGGACAAGGTCGACCCATCCTCACAGGAATATCTGATTCATATGAGAATGGGTGGAAATAATGTGACACCTACACAGAAAAACAACTCTCCTTTCTCTCCAACTGCTGCCCCAGGGCCACAGCTCGCTACCTCCTGTCTAAAATCCGTTTTCTTCTTAATGACATGGGCTCACTACATGGGATGCCGAGGTCATCTTTTCAATGTTAGCATACACAAAAGTTAGACTTACAAAGACAGACAATAAAAAAGAACCGACAGACTAAAGGGGGGGAAACAAACCAACCATGAGGCGTTCAGCTTAGACAGAATCTCATGAAAAGTTGGGGACCCTGTAAACAGCCATAAAGACCCCACAGTAACGGAGTCTGCGCTTCTCAGTAGTAGTGGCACGCTTCCTTGATACTAAGAACATCTGTGTCACTGAGGAGATGCCACTGGGGAGGTCTTACACAGAGCACCAGTGAAGGCTGTTGGTCAGGCCAAAGAGGATGCTGCCTGCCACGACTGGTCCTGTGGTCCAGCATGCCAGTCCTGACCTCAGACCCCAGAGAGCCAAGCCTGGAGACCGCAGCACAGCTTACCAGATGCTGGTAACACTGGGGCCCACAGGGCTTGTTGTCAAGAGCAGTCTCCGTGTTCTTCCGCTTGTAGGTGTTAGGTGTTGCATGAAAGGCTACAAAGTAAATTGAAACAAAGCATCCAAACACAATTCTACACATGTGTGATCACCGCCCCACACCCCGACATCCTGACACACGCCATGAGGTAGAAGTAGACAGGACGCGGTCCTGCCACTGCTGATGCTGAGGGTTCTCTGAACCTGCATCACTAGGAAGCTGCTCACCCATCCACCCTACTCCTGCCCAGTCAAACACAGAAGAGACAGCAGCTCTCAGAACTGCAACCCGAGGTCTGAATTCAGTTCCTTCAACTTGAGACAAGCCAACTGTTTTTTCATTTTCCAAATCCAGCTCTCTGCATATTCCTTTATCATCCTTTGTTTTTTGAACTGCCCTTTGACATCTTGTGTTCAACACTTTTACCTCAGCACCTCTTCCACGAAGAGATGGAAAATGTGCCAGCCCCACCCAGCAGCACCAGCCTGGCAGGCCTGGCTGCACTTACGGTGCAAGAAGCAGTCATACTTGAAGCAGCGCCGGCAGAAGAGCGTGTGGAACGAGTGCAAACTCTGCTCCCGCTGCACTGACTTGGCATGGGGCCCATCAATGTTGGGCGTGCACTCGGGGGGCAGTGCCCCAGGCAGCTGCTGCTCCGTGAGCTCCTTATACCTGCAGACACGGGCGATACGCACCAGTCAGGATTCAAACTGTTTCTACACAGGAAAAATTGAGGTATCTTCCCCGAAAAGACAGAAGCTAGTCTACAATGTGAACACTCAGGCGATCATTGTCACACACAGCAATACTAGCATCAAATCCAGTGCTGTGACTTGGGCCCTCGGGGTTAAGAATGTTACAACCTGCACTTCACAAAAACACAAGCTGCACTTACCTAGCCTCAGGGTTGAAAGAAGCCCACAGCTGCAGAGCCCTGAGCAAGAACAGACACCTGAACTCATATGACCAACGAAGAGAAGTGTGTGGGCTTCATACTAACAACCCCCTCACTCACATACACCCATCCCACCAACTCTCCATGATGGACACACCCTTGTGGATGGCCTCATCTCTCTCACACCCCTTCTCATGGTCCATCTCTTAATACACACCCACCCCTCACATATACACACACATACACACCCTAACTGCTCCATGATTCACACATATGACAGCTCCACCTCGTGACAAAAACTACTACTTACACACGTCTAACCATTACCCCATCAACTGCTCCCTGATTCACACTCTCTCATAACAGCTCCGTCTCTCTTCACAAACCAAAAGCCCCATCACACATGCACGCACACGCGCGCTCACACACAGAGGGCTGTGACCACACCTCACACACACCCTAGCAGGAATCACCGCACACGGACAGATCACCGCACACAGGAGAACATAGCCTGTAAGTGTAGGTCTTACTTTTCCTTTAGTTCTTCTGCTGTGCCCTTGTCTGGAAACATGGAGGAAATGGCTTCAAAAATTTTATCAGAAGGAAATTTCCGAGGTGGACGACTTTCTTTATCTAAACAGAGAAAGATGAAGGAGGGGCAGAAGGCTGAGTATTAGCAAGTTCCAGCTTCCACTTTCTCCAGAGGAAGTTGAGATTATCCCGAGTTTTGTTTCCTTCTCTGGCATTTTACAGGAGTCTATGGCGCACTACTGGCTCAAGTAAATGAAACATAAACATCCAAGACAGAGTCTTAAGAACTCGGGGGCATAAAGCCCAGTTGGGCAGGCATCCCTCAGTAGGCTGTGGTCGGGTGTGCCCTCCTCTGTGAACAAAGGTTCTTTGTGTTATACGTCTGTTTCACTGAAATCACAATTCTCCCTCAATCGCTCCCCTCCACGGCCATCCTATCAGGCTCAGCTTGGGGCAGAGGGCACACATCTGAACAGCCCGCAGAGAACCCAGTGGACAAGGGGGGCTAGTACAGCCTCTACCACTGCTGATGGACACTGAGCTGCAACACGCACCGTCTCGGGGATCCTCCAGGTCTCTGCGCTTCTCGTCCCTGTCATCAGGGTCGTCCTCGTCACCATCGTCATCGTCATCACTGTACTGACTGAGAGCGCTCACCAGTTCCACGAAGATCTCGTCATTGATAAATCCACACTCTGAATGAAACACGGCACCTGTGCTCAGAGGAGTCGCAACACTGCTCCCCAAAGCGCCGCAGCTGTACCTTCCGACCCAATCATGCACTGCCAAGACCATGAGTGCTCCCTAACCAGCCTCTGGTTAGAGACCCTGGCTCTTCTGAGACCCCCAGCAGCCTTGTGGGGTCCTGGGAGGAGGCCTCTGTCCACCTGCATTGTCACCCACAGGCCAGTCCCACTCTCTGCAAGATGCCCGTGAGCATCCAATATGCTCCTGACACAAACATCCCCTCCAGTTCTACCAAGGAAAGCATCCAGAATCACGCGCTGTGAGCAGCAGAGGATGGTCACACCTGGAGGACCTTTCCTGGCCTGTCAGGACACCTGTCCCACTCAGTCCCTGGCCCCTTCCTGGAGAACATCCTGTTCACCTCTGTCCCCGTGCACCTTCCCGTCGTAGTTCTTGATTAGCTCCTCAATGAAGGTCCCATCTTGGTCTAAAACTTCGTCCCCCATGTAAGGAATGTTGTGTAAAACTGTTTCATCTTCCACCTACAAGCAAAACAGCGACACTGTTTAAAAGAAACCACATATGCTGTGTTTTAGTTATGTCTTTTTCTAGTTTGCCAGATCTTACATTCTGACAGCAAACCATCAAAAAGAAAACAGTTAAGGCTGCTCTCATCACACTGAGCTTAAGGCGGGGTTTCGCCATAGCAGGGTTCAGGGACACCCAAGGGAAGCAAGCACAAGGCTTGGACTTCACAGGTCCTTCAGGGTTATGGGAGCAAGCAGCATAAGAGGAGGCCACGCAACCACAGGCCAGACCACGGACCCCGTCGCTGTCCGACTGGGCTACTGAAGGTGAGCCAGGCTGGACCAAGCTGTGGCCCCAGCTCACAGGCAAGGCCACAGAAGGTGCACAAACAGAAGTGCAGAAGAAAGTGACCTGGAGGGCTGATGGGGAGTATCCACGTTGACAGCAGCAGCTCAAACCAGGAGAGGGGAGTAGAGGGAAGGGGAGGGGAGGGGACAGAGGCGTCCACACTTGGCTGCTCCAAGCCACTCTCGTATGCAGACCACAGAGGCCTGTCCTATCTTGTCCTAGAGAATCGGGGTCTCCTCATAGCAGCTGCACGGACAAGATGCTTCCAACGGGGCAGTCTGTGCACTTTGAGGTCATCAGTGTGTGATGCTGTATGGTAAACCCTGTATTCTACCAGAACACTGACATCTACTTCTGTCTTTCTCTCTCACACCACCACCCCCGGCCCCGAACCGTTATAGTGTTCCACCTCCAGAAAAAAGACATTTCCAGAGACAGAATTTAAAATAAGGGTCAATAAGGAGAGGATGGCCCAGAACAAGATGCCTGAACCCAGGAGCAGAGATGGCAAGGACAGCGGGGAATCAGGCAGAGGTCCATTCTGCTGTACAGGGGTCACTGAGTCCAAGTCACTTTGATGGCTCTAAACAATGGTACCTCACCAAGAGCTTCTCACCTTCCCAAGAGCCCTCCCATTTCACATACCCAGCCAGCAATACAAGAATATAAAATGGACTTGCTACCCTTCTCATCTGTCCGCTCTTCCTCCTCTGCATTTCACTGGCAGTCTCTGGCCAGTGTCTGTGGAAATGTGTTTTATCAGCATTTAAGAACCCTTCCTCAAGCGTGCAGTCCAAGAGGGTCCTAAAAGAGGAACTCTCCAAAGAAAACCTCAAAGTCAGACGAGGACTGCTCAAACAAGAAGACTACACTTCGCCTTTCAGACATTTTTAACCTCGGCCTAGTATGGTTTTTGCTTAACATTTTCTATTGGAGAATCATTTAACTAGACAGGACTAGGAAAAAAAAAATCAACTTGTGATGGCTTTGAAAAGCAAAATCCTACCAAGTCTTGTCACCCACCAATCCCCCACAAATACACTGAACCCTGAGCCCCTGTCTGTAGAGGATGACAAAGGAGGGACAGAGTACCCACCATGAAGTTCTGCTGCAGGGGAGACCAGGAGTACATAATGGGCACCGAAGCGACTGCATTCAGCGTCTTCAGGGGGATGGCTTGTGTGGGGAAATCCAAGTCACTGCTGACGGAACACTGGGCAGAAAGACAGAACCACTCAGCACAGCTGTTTGTGGCCACCCTTTGAACAGCTGTGCTGGTCTGGCAACGCTCAGCCCTGGGCACCCACTCCCTCCTCCTGCTCCTCCTCCCCTAATTGAGCATGACAATATCCTTACTTAGAGCAAACGTTCAAACCCTTTAATCCTTCATATACTTACCAATATCAAAATGAAACAAAACATGGCTAACTACTCCAAACTCTTCTCTAACTCGGTAATATCTATAGCAACATGCCACTTAAATAAATGTTAGGAAATGTATTAACCTTTCTTTTATCCTCTTTTTAAAAACTTGTTAGAATTATCAGATAAATAACACATGGATATAAAAGTAGTATATCTGATTTCAATCACATAAAAAATGAAGTGAAATAAATGTCATAAAACCGTAATAGCTAATGGCTCTTCCTACAGGCTAGCATTATTTTAAAGCACATTTTGTGTTTTATCACATATAGTACTGTTAGATGGGTACCATTCTTAGCTCATTTTATAGGTCAGAAAACTAAAGTAAAGAAAAAGTTAAGTACCTCACCCAAAGCTGTGTGGAGTATTAAACCCAGAAAGCCTGCCTGTGCAGCCCTGCCCTCATGCCCCACACTGCCTCACTTATCCTAAATACTGTATTTCATCTATTCTAAAAGGGAACCAATTTTAAGTCATTATCTCTAAGGAAAAATGCTGCCAGTTAAATTATGTGACAAAACACTTTCTCATCACAGAACTTCAAGATGCATCCGTGTTTTTTATGTTGAAAGGTTAAAACTCCGAATCTCTGAAATACACTAAGTCTGAGCTGGGGTTACCCCCGCAGGACAGGACCCAGGTACTGGCTTTTCTTCCAGCACCCACCCAACTCCCTGCAAGGTCAAGCCCCCAGGCTTTCTCAGAAACACCCTACAATCAGTGAGAACTAAGCAAAAGAGGTGGAACTGAAGAAGTCAAATGAAGCAAATCCTTTCTATGCACACATGTCACTGTGAAATACCCCAAAATACCCCATTCTGTAGAATCGGAAAGGGGCTTCACTAGGGCAGGGTGCCGGCTCCCCTGGGGAAGGCTTGTTTGACACTGCCAAAATCACAGCCATCACAGCCCAGAAAAACCTCCTCCTGCGGTAAAAGGCGAGTGCAAAAGGACAGTGGCTACAAGACCTACGCCGGGTGGATCCAGGAGCCTGCTCTCCAGGAAGGCAGTGAGACAAAGGCCATGCTCCCTTCATGCCGTGGTCTTGTTAAATGAGGCTTCGGCCTGGCCCTCCTTCTGCCAGCTGGACAGGTAACATTTGTTGAGCACCTCTGGTGTTGCAGGCACTGTGCTAAGGAGTCCTCATCAAGCACCACCTCACAGATGAGGGGCAGGAGGGAGAAGGACCTGGTGCCACCTGCCTGGTGACTGAGTGTCCATCTCATCTGACCAGAACTGGAGGAAGAGGAATGTTATAATCACCAAAGAAAGCATCACATAACCTCCAGTGGCTTCAGACAGAAAAAAACCCTTCTTTCTTCTTAAAAGGCACAATTTTGGTGTGTTTTTGTTGTCTTGTTTTTATTAAACTTGGTGGAACCAATTAAATATTCTGTGGTTTAAATTCTCAAGAGTAGCTCTCTTTAAAGCTTTTTCACGTGAAATCCAGAACCACCAGCACAGCCACTGGGGAGCGAATGCATTCAGCCTCCAATGGCCACTGGCTCCTTGTCCTCTGTGCCCACGCCATGGGAAACGCTCAGGGCCTGAGAGTTAGCCATCCACACCACAGACAGCAAGAACTTGCAGAGCACAGAAGGTACAAGCCAAAGGCTGTGGCCGCACATTCCCTCCAGGCTCACACTCATCCTACTCCCATCCATACCTTCCCAATTTAGAAACACACCCCGAGACAGTGAGGCCAAGTGGGGCAGGACCTAGCACAGTGTCTCAAGCAAGCAGGCACTCAAGAAATGTTTCTGGACTGAGCAGACAGCACCCTGCGGGTCCACAGGGGCATCTGTGCTGTGTGCGGCTGAGCAGAACAACTAGGAACTTGGAAGAACTGCCCCCCGCTGAACTCTGTGGAGGAGCTATCAACATCCAGCCCATGCCTTGACTGTCAACCTTGACTAATAACCACATTCCTTTCTCTTATAACATTCAAATGCAAAAGCATTTGTTGGTAACCCGAGCATGGGAATTCTTAATTACTTATCGACTTACAAGAAAGAACTCAAAAGTCCTGTTACTTACCAGTAACTTCTTTGTCTTTGAAAATGTATCATCCTTGACCTTTTCTGTAATTACGCTTTGCATCACTCACCCTGACAGGGCTTGGGCCCGTGGCGGCTCCACAGCATTGGACTGATCAGAAAGGCCCGTGTTCTGGGCTCCTGCGCACCAGGAGAGGCCTGCGTACACAAGCCACATTCTCCAGTTCTAGTTCTGACTTGAGGGCCACAGACAGCAGTTGTAAAAAGAAAAAGTACTCCACTAGTCATCAAGGATGCTACCTTTTCAGAGAAGCAGCTTACTGGTAAGGAACAAGGTTCCTCTCAGGACGATAGACTTACATCAACCAGCTGGTACAACAGGCGAGCGTGTGGCTGGGCCACTGGGGGCTGCAGGGGGAGCCACGCCCAAGCTAGCAGCTGTAGGAGGACACAGCCCAACTGAGACTCTTGGCAGAGGCTGGTTCCAAGCAAAAACTGTTATGGAAAACCGCGGAGGGAAGAGCAGGTGAGTGGCCTGCAGGGAAGGGAGAGACATTAACACACCTACTATGTGCCACGCACATCCGACTTCAAACACTAATGTCTTTAAAGTCACTGTGCCCAAGGGTGCAGGTGTAACACCCCATTCCACAGTGGGGACCTCCCCCCAAGAGGACAGCAGCCACAGCTTTCCTTCCCAACAACTGTCACCATGAGGAGAGAGGTCTGCGTCCTCACAGGAGAGAAAGCTGTTAGCCAAGTAAAAAATCCTCCAGGACACTTCTGGCCCACTTGGTTCCTGTCAGAAGTCACAGATCTAATGCCTTCAGCCTTTCCAAGTTCAACAGTAGGACGCCTTCTCACAGCTGTCGTGTGAGGTGGTCAGGCCTTGGGAGAAGGAACCCAGAGTAAGCAGAACTGTGCCAACGACTGTGCCGAGCTGGGTGGTTCCCACACGCCCCAGACCTCTCAGAGCACAGCTGAGCAAAGACGCACGCACAGGCCAGCTTACAGGCAGCCAGCCCTTACAGCAAAATGAAGCTCAGGTTCAGGAGTGGGAAGGAAGCACCAGGAGGCAGGCCCCTTGAAGGGGCAGGTAAATGATTTATAACCCAAGGTGGTGGGGGAGAGAGAACTTCCTGAAGAAACACGGAGTCAAAATAAAGACAAGAAAACAAACCTAACAAGACAGTCATACCTGTGAGAGGTACCTACCGGGACACGGAAGCTGCCCCCACTGACTGCCACCTAGCTGCAAGGCACTGTGGATATTCACTGCCCAGGATTTAACCAGACCAGAGGCTACCAGCTCAGCCTGGACTGTCTGGACCTAGTCTACATTTGGGGAACCCCAGACCAAGCATGTAGCCTTCAACAATCCAAAAGCAGAACCCCCAGCCTGCACACTGAGCTCACACAAGTAAAAAGGAATGATGTTCCTCAGGGTTGGTGCACTCCCTCTCAGGAAAACCAGCAAGTGCACAAAGAACACACATCCGACGGCACAACGCACAACGTAATGGCCGCAGCAAGGCTTCTGGGAGGTAGAGTCCAGCTCTCCCTGCCTCAAGGTTCAGACGCTTGGCCCTAATCGTCTGCCACTAAGAGAAACAAAAGCCAAGAAGCAGAACACAGACGATGATGTGAGCGTCAGAGCCAGAAGCGCCGCAGGTGACCACCGACAGGGGGTTTGTCTCCACAGAATCTGAACCCAGAATGCTAACCACTGTGTAAAGATGGAGAAACAAAATAAAAATCTACCTCACTCCTACACTAAATGAGTTCCTCACCACTTAGAAGGTATCAAAGTTCCTCACCACTTAGAAGGTATCAAAGTAGACAATATGCTAACAAGAATTAAAAAGGCTAAAGGGGAAAGTGAGCAGTAATTCTAAAGCCCTGAGTGAATCTCTTAACCCTGCAAGCCAGGGAGAAGTCAGGGGTCTCCCTGGCTGTGACCCCCATAGAAGGAGACTGTCTCCTCACACTTCAGGAAGCAGCTGGTGGGTTCAGACCACTGACTTTTTACTGAGCCTTGGTTTTTAATCAACCAGTATTCCTTTAAGACGGCTAAGGGACATTCTGATGTGACTTCACAGGCTAAGAAAGAAACAGGTTCAACAAGACAAATTTTTTAAAATAAAAAACTGAAAATCTACAGAAAGTTTATACATAGGGAAAATACAAAGACTTACAGCTACAGAACTCCCTTCTCTAGGCTCACTGTCACTGAGCTAGAACCAACTCCCAGCTCAGCTTCCACCAGGTTTGCAGGGCTGTAAGGGGAATGCACAGAAGACTGCCCCTCTTCCTCCTCTTCGGAGCCTCACTGGATTCAAACACCAGTCAGCTGCCTGCACACTAGGCCACCAGAGCTCCGGAGCTACAGGAGGTATCTATCGACCACAAAAAGAGGGCCTTAGCTTTTGGAGAAAAGCTCCGTACAAAACAACTAGAACAGTACATCTACAGAGAACTGTAAGAAATTCAAGCTGGATTTAGAAGAAGCTGTACCACCAAGAATATCACTGCTCATATCAGATGAATCTGCTTGAAAGCAGAGAATACAAGAAAGCTGTTTAACTGTGTTTCATTGACTATGCAAAGGCATCTGACTGTGGGATCACAACAAATTATGGCTAATATTGAAAAGGTTAGGAATTCCAGAACATTTAATTGTGCTTACGAGATACCTATACCTACACCAAGAGACTGTTGTCCAAATACAGCAGAGAAACACTGCATGGTTTAAAATCATCAAGAAATTTGTGTGTCTGAGCTGTTTCCTTTC